GCTAGAAAAAGGAAATCATGCAAATTTGCTCTTGGAGTATGCCGTATTCAAGGCTTCAAAAAATGACAACTAAATAATAAGGAACATAGCTAGCCTAGCTGTTAGATAGAACAAGAAAAGCTCTTCAAAACCACATACAGCTCATTGGCAGCTTGCTTGAATTCGTAACAAAATAAAGCGTTCAAAAACGAAACACCGAAAAGCGCAAGAACTTTCTTCACGACCTAATAATTGTAGAGCGTACTTTGAGGACTGGCAAAATAAGCCAACGGCAGCTATCTAACCTGATTGGTCATAATCCCTCCAATTCCTTAAGACTAACAATAACTAAGCTAGATGCTAGGAAAGACTGATCTGAGCATGAGAGAATATGAAACACAAAGATATTGGTGATTTTGGTTTTAATTTTTCCTCTGGTCTGTGTTCACCTCCACTATTTTGGACAAAATTCAGGATCGTGGCGCATTCTCGATGATCCTTCACTTGCTATAACATTTGTGTTTTCGTGAAATGATTCTTTGATCAAGTATGTTGGTTTCCATACTATTGACAGTAACAGCTGACAATGAACCACTCGGCTAAGCAATGCGTTCGAAACGCATGTTCAGAGAAAATAACAAGAAGAGGTTTAGCAATTAAAAACTGTCATGATTACCTCCTTGTACCGATCCGAGAGTTTTGTGAATTCTTTCCAGGCACTTTCGACCTCGTTTTTGTTGGCGCACTCCGGCTCGTTGTTGCTTACCATCTTACAGTCCTTATCTAGTTGCTTCATTCGTTTGTCGGTCGCCATTCTCAAGATGGTGTCCGACGAGCACTGAAGGGAAAATCATGTACCAATAGGTAAAGATTAGAAATATGGCATAAAATGTAGTACATACTTGGAATGCACTGACGGCACTGATGATGGCGGTGATCAGCAGAAAAGTCTGCATGCTTGGATACCCTGCAAACGGATGCAACTTGTTTGCTTCGAAAAGAAAAGCGTTTTAGCAAATTCAATCTTCACGGTTTTCTTCTTGGAAATAAAACCGGAAAAACAGTTGAATAGCTGTGGAAGTCGTAACTGTAGCTGTAGCAGACGTCGACCAGTAATTTCTCTGATTTTCACTTGGAAGGTGGGACTTCTTGTCAATCCGGTGGTATCGACGACGGGAAAAGCGGAAGGGCGCTGCAATGGGACCCAATCTCTGTAGACCAACGATAAAATTCTTCCTTCCAAGTTTGTACATTTGTTCCCTTTGATCTTATCGTTGTCGAAAGAAAAGTCGAAAAATAGTCCAGTGAAATGGTGGGTGATCGAACCCTTTGTTTTGTGTGTAGTGCCATCGCGGCGCTTGTAGTTTGCACGCCTCAAACTTGGTAAATTAAACTCATGTAACGATTTAACAACACACATCGTACGTAACAAATATCAAGCACGATAACAACAAATAACATCTTCTGAGTACCGGTAAGAGTTATGAGGCAGAGACCAACATTGAGTATCAGAATAATGAGCGAACAACAACATAACAATATAGGATTAGGCACAGGTCATTTAATAACCGCAGTGAGGAATAAAGAATGCTTCAGAACAAAACCGCTAAATAGAGTAAGAGGAACAGCTAAAACAAGAGTAAGCTTCGCAAGAGGGTAGGCATAGGTAATGGTAATCGCAAACTCTGAATATCGCAGTATCGCAAAAGCTATCGGGAAGGCGCGGAGAAGAACTGGGTTCTCGATGTCCCTCGAGGCTCTTTTATAGCGCCCTTTGGCGCGCGATCACGATCATAAGGTGACCGCTCCTTTGACTGGCTAATCAGACGATCGGTCAATGACATCGCGGTGTTTCCGCGATAGTCAGCAAGCTTCTACAAGATTCCATATCCATGCATGTTGTCATTTGTCTTATACTCTTAGCTGCTATTTTTTGCTGCAATGTGTATGCTATCAAAATTGAGTTGAGTTGTGGGCACCGGTGGGATTTCGTACACGGTCAACCGTCCATTGTGTAAAGATCAACGTGGGAGGGGTCGTATTTGGCCAATAGAAGGGGGTCGTGCATCTAACCCCTGATGAAATCCCAGGACTCACGTCACCGGAATTTGAATTGACAGCCAAGTGGAAAGGGGTATCAGGCTCTCAATAATCCGCCGACGAATACGAATCAATACGACCTAATAGCCGCATCTGCTGAGTGCGGATTTCTTACTGAAACCCGCGTCATATCCCAGTGACACTCCCCCCAACAAGCAAATGAGGATTCGATGCTTCTATACCAAACCAAGTGCAATGAAAGTGCAGACAATGTGCGGCCGTCACCTTATTACCCTGATGAAAACGAACTTGCTCGCATAGATTTCAGTGGACGATACCGCTTAATCTTTGAAAAGATCTATTCTGCTAGTTTCTGAATAGCTTGCAGATTCGAAAATGTTGAGCTCAAAGGAAGTTATGAGCGTTTGCATATTGATGATGATAATTCAAACATTCTCAAAAACAGAGCCACAGACTGAAAAACAAAAGAACGGGAAGCCCTAATGTTCCAGTGTCAAATTAGCCCCAGCCGTTTGCAGAGTTGGTTATGAAGGAAGAGAACGCTGAATGTTGAAAATCTTGAAAATCTATAGAAAAAAAAACGAAACAACGGAACGATTTTCCTAACAGCTGAACATTCTTAGCAGTTAAACACTTTTGGAAAAGAAAAACATTTTTGAGTTTTAGTATCCTTTCTGATGAGAACGCTACCGAAGAAAGGTATAATGTTCAAAACGCAAGTTGTATAATTACTGCATAAGTTTAGTTTTTTCCAGTTTAAAAGAAAAAATTTGGAACTTAGAAAAAACCTGGCAGCTTTCAGAAAGTAGAAGTCAATGTAGTGACAATCACCTGTAGGTTCATGTAAAATGTTGAAGTTAATCTACTTCCATGGTGGGCCAAAATTATGAGGACAAAGACATGTCGTCAAGAAAGCGTTGGAGCTTGATGGAGCAAGCAAACTCAGAAGGGTGTCTGGCACTCATATCACAGAACAAAGCCAGATTAGGATTGAGATCTGCCACTTACTGCTTCAAATGATGAAGGAATTGCGCGTGCGGTGGCACGCAAAAGGCGTGTCAAAATGTTTCCAGGCCTTTCTGCTCTGCTTTCTTCAGGGGATCAAAGTTTTGTGGGGCATTCATTTGCGCTTGCCTCCAGGGTGTAAAATACAGAAATCTAGAGCTATTAGGTGGAGGTTCCATTGTAACAATTCTTCGAAAGCAACGAACTCGAAAAATCGCTTTTAGAGAATTTTTGCTTTATTCTTGGGTGCTCGGTCCTGTAAAAAGTCCCAAGTAGACTACTCGTGTGGCTTTCTATCCACTACAGATGTGGAGTCTTTAGAGTGTCTGGCTGGGTTTTCACATCAATTTTTCATTTTGGGTGTACGAAAGTCGACAAGGGGAGACCTAGTTTCTGCATCTGATAATTGTCCTGGTGGTAACTGTAACTTTCGAGTCCCCGAATTTTCCATCTGTGGTGGTTCCAAACTTATTGAAGAGTTGAACTGTTGCCCACATGAGCTTCTTGATACGTTAGACTGCCGCTAGATGTAACGTGCCAGAGCCCTAGTGAGTTCAATTTGAGGAATGGCGTATCCTGATGTGATTATTTCACTGATTTTGAGAACTGCATGATATTCGGTTTCAGTAGAAAGAAGACATTGTACTCTATCACATAATGCAGAGAAAAGAAGATGGAAATGGAGAGACTCAGAAAAAGTGGACATGGCCGCACGCTGTCCTCATAATTTTGGTCCACCCCGTAAACAGTGATGTGTCGTATTGCCATGGTGCCTTGGTTCCAGTCCCTCATCGAGGTAAAGCGCACGAATAGGTTCCTGCTACCTAGCATCTCTTTCTACGCTGATAGCGGCTCATACACCAATGGTGGGCATAAAATATGTAAGGAAAGATATGAATAGCTTACAGAGGGGGGCGTACTAATATCCCATGAAGGGAGGTTGCTGCAAAAATATTATTGGCACCAGACGGTTGACTATAGCAGAATACCTCCGAATGTTAGACTGTTACATCGTGAACAAGAGGAGCGTCGACCAGCGACTACCTCCTTTGCTACGCCCGGGTGTCTGTGAACTCTTAC